AGAGAGAAACTAAAAAGAAGAATAGTGTTTGTGAGAGAGAATCTAATATGTATGGAGCATCACTCATATCTTTGAATACATCATAGATTCAAGTTATTCTTCTTCTCCTTCTTCTTTATTTGATATGGCATCATCCGTTTGATTGGGATTCCGCACCATCAGACGGATCTGATTGATACACAAGCAGATTGTTGGGTCAAAATTTGGTTTATACTTTACTTTTCTAGGAAAATGTATTTTTCTGTTAAGTAATATGTGTTTACGGTTGTGTGTACGGTCGTACACGGGTTTATGGTCGTAAACCCGTATACGACCAACTATCTCATATATATATATATATATATATATATATATATATATATATATATATATATAGGGTGAGGAGTGCTTGAGAGTGTAAGGCTAGAGAAGGAGAGCATATTGTAGAGAGAGAAACTAGAGAGAAGAAGAGTGTGTGTGAGAGAGAATCTTATGTGTATTGTTCATCATTCCAATCTTTGAATACATCATAGATTCAAGTTATTCTTCTTCATTTGATCTGGCATAATCCGTTTGATTGAGATTCCGCACCATCAAACGGATCTGATTGATACACAAGCAGATTGAGGACTTACACATTTAATAAAATTATGATTTATAGAACAAAATATAAATTTGAATGTAAAAAAACACAAATCGTGGAACACAATAAGACACAAAAGACATATAAACAATGAAAGTACATTGTTGTTAAATCAAAATACTTAAGAATATTAACGTTTCTATTTTATTTGGTCATTTACTAATCAATTTTCAATTTTAAACACTACATGTAAGGTCACTAAAAAAATTTGTCAGCTACATTTTTCGAGTAGCACAATTTGGTTTATAAACATGGATTCTAATGTTAGATTTTTGTGAATGGTAGACCAAGTTCTATTCAATCCACATATTTTGATTAGTAGGATATGATTTATATCCTACAATCAAAATAATTATAGCAAAAACAATAAATAAAGTAAACTTTATTGAAAATTAATAAAAATACAAATAAGAGAACATATATTTGAATGCGAAACACAAACATAAACATTAAATATTGAGAAATGTTTTAATTCTTTTTTGTCAACTTCAGTTTAATTATCATCGTACAACGAGTGCGATGACAAACGAGCAACAAGCTGCGACGCTAAGCCTTTTTGTATGATAAAGCTAATTCTTTTGAAGACTACATCCATAGATCTAGTGAATTTAACATTGTTATGCATGATCCGTTGTACTCTATTAAGAAGTTTCACCACATCCGACATGAGGAAACAAAACGTATCAAATGCAAATGGTATGAAAACGTGTTGATTTTCCATACATGATTTCTCATGTTTGGTGATTGTGCTTGTAGCAGGTTTTAAAGTAACATGTCTTGCCGTGAAACCTCCAGCCCTCAAGCCCACGAGAGGGATACCTCTGTAAGGTCCACACATGCATGTTTCCCTCCAATCCATCCAAAAATCAAAATGTCAGCCAAAACCTAACACAATTGAATAATAACATAAAAGAAAAAGTTAATGATATCATGAAATCTCAATTACAATGGCTGGAACATGTTAACACAAACAAGTAAAATAGAAGAACATACACAAATGCAACAATACAACAACTTAGTTTTAGATGCAAGGACGTTTCAGTATAAGACCAAAAAATGCAATATTTATACATCACAAGATAAGATGATTAATTTCACGCCGACCAAATTTAATCTATCAAGATGAACACGCTTCAACGTAATTGAATCCATATATTGTTTCTTTTTCTAACCTGAATTAGAAAAGACATTCTATGCTTAACTATTTTTCACAAAGAATATGTAAATATTAATCTACAATTTTCGTTTACCTGTAATTGTTAGTTTTTTTGTCGACTTTTTATTGCCAAGACCAAATTTATTCCTTTGTGCATAAGGTTTTACCGCATAATAAGATCTAAAGGGGAGAAATCATCAATACAACCTCCAAATTTATCAAAATAATTTACCTTACAAATCATGATTATTTCTACAAGCTTATTTAAATCTTGAATGTTTCAACGAACCTTTTTGCCAATATAAATGTTAAAAAAAATTAAAAAAATTACACACTTATTTGCTTTTGGTTTTTGTTTATTGTAATAAACCTTCAGCACCACAAGCATTGTCTTGCTGGCACATAAAGAAATTGAAAAGTTAAGTAGCATTAGAATAAAATGTTATTGATTCTTGATGATTAGATATACGAAATAAACAACAAATAACTTACTTACCATCAAGCTTAGCTTGTGATTTTTTGTAGATCCGCAGAGCTTCAAAATAAGAAAAGAATTACATGTTATAAAGAAGCTTACAAAAACACCCCCTTTTCCATCCAATCCCTTATTAACTATTTATAAAACTAAAACCTCAATTTCCTACATGCACAATTAAACATTGAAACCAATTTCCTACATTAACAACTAAACATCGGAACCAATCACTAAACTTACTAAAGTTTCTAGGTAAATTCAACAAAAAAATAGAAACACCCAAATTTAGATTTCATATAAATGAATATAATGATACACCCATTTGAATATAAACAAAATGGAGAATAAAACCCTTAAATAATTGCAAAAAGTGGTAATTTTGTTTTCCATTAACATGAATAATTATAAAGAAAATTAGCCAAAATATACACCTAAATCCAAAATCATGTCATAATGGCTCCATGCGTCCTTTAATTTGTCCGTCTTAAAGAATTCACCCAATAACGATTCTTTCACATCCCTTAAATATTAATTGAACTAAAAGGGTGCAATTTTATATCTCAGATTACAAATAAAAGGTTTATCTCATCGAACAAAATAAAATATGTTCTCCTGGAGTGTTTCCAATGATTAGGTTGGTGGAAGGTGAAGCGTCGGCGAGTAGTGGGAGAAATAGAAGGAGAACTTGGATGTGGTGGCAGACTGGGAGAATGGGCCAAAGAAGAAGAATCAATCGCAAAAAATAAACGTAAGAGATTAATCAACATAAATATTTTTAGACATCCGGTATCCCCTTGCACAAGTATCATGCTTCACATAACTGGTCACAAAATACTAAACATAAATAGAATTAATATAAGAGGTTAACTATAATGAACATGAACATAGGTGGATTTACATAAGATACTTCATATAAACTTGAAAACAAAGGATTGAAAATTCAAAAAAAATTGAAGGTTTCATACTCACCAATAGAATACATTGATGACAGTTTTGACTCCAACTCCATAGCAACAAATGTAAACTTGAAGTGCTCTAGAAGAATCATCACATGTTTTTCTCTTGGGCAGAAGTTCATAGCAAGTTCTTCATCTTCCAATAGTTAGCGCCTGAAAAATGATCCCAAACAAACCTAAAACCAAGAAAAGCCATAAAAAATGTCAACATGAGTTTAAAAGATAAGAAAGGAAAAAAAGCAACAAATTCAAATAAGAAAAAATTTAATATGTCTGTGTCTTTGTGCCTCATCAATAACAACATAACTCCATTGAATCTGGGAAAGAAAGCCATCATCAATAAATGTTATATCATATGTTGCGATGAGCACATCAAAAGGTAACGCATGTACCTACAATATCTCAACACATCATCATACACATGAGTCTATTAGAAGTAATCTATATCAAGTTCTATAAATTGTAAAAATCTTATTGAAAATTTGAAAATCCATACTTCTTCTGTTTTGTAAAATCAGAAAATCCAATGTTCTTATAATTCAACTTCTAACTTGATTTAATTTCAAAACTTTTATAAATTTCACATTTCTCTTCCTCTTACATAATTTTCATTTTCAACTATAATATATATAGCCTAGTAGGTGTTCGGCAAAAAGATGTGATGTAAGAGGAAAATAATAGTGAAATTTCGAAAATCTTGAAAGCAAATCAAGTTAGGGGTTGAAGTTTAAGAACACTATAATGAATATATATCAAACAAAATGACGTATTATGGTGGATTTGGGTACCTAAGCTTATATACCCTTAAGGGTATATTCACTTTCCCTATATATATATATATATATATATATATATATATATATATATATATATATATATATATATATATGATCAAGTAGGAATTCAAAAAATGGTATGAACCGCGAGACTTATTTTTGACCTTAAGATTGAAAAAATAAATGACCAGGATTTGATTTTTTTTATCGTCAAAATCTCGCGAGATGATATGACATTTTCGTAATTAATTGGGAGATTTTGATAATTTCCGGAGAAGGTTAATTTGGAGGGTACAAGTGACAAAAGCTAAAAGATTAAAAGAAAATGAAAATTCGGCCATGTGGCCTCTCTAGGAGCTGACACGTGCCCCCACCCGAGCATGACAAGTGTCCAGTCATTATTGGTTTAAACTCGTGTATTTGAGTCAAATATAGTAATAGTTTTTAGACAAAATTGTAAAAATTGTCTTTGTGGTATGCCAAAACTCGTGTATTTGAGTCAAAAAAAGTTTGGAATCACATCAGTGGTCAAATACTTGGATTTTGTTGCGAGTGTGGTCCAATTTGTTTTAAATTTTTTCAAAATGACGAATTTACCTTTGTATTTTCATTTTCTATTTTTTATTTAATTTAACATTTTTCTAAATTTAAAATATCACCCACCCATTTCTCACTCCTAATAACTCCATCTCTCTCTAATCTCTCTCTTCATACTGTCAGAGAGAACCACCGTCGACATCCGTCTCTGACGGCGACTTCGTCTATATCCTTGTATGTCTGTGTCTAAGACTGTTCATAGTCCTCCGTCTGCACATCACTGACGAGAACGAGGTGAAGAAAATAATGACGATCTCCATTTGTGAAGGGGTGAAGCGAGAACGAACATCAGGGAATAACCAAACTAACTACGACGACGTAAAAAATCATCGAAGTCTTCCTTCTCCGGCTTAGACCATCTGTTTGTTGCCATCGAAGGGGTGTTTGTCGACAAAGTTAGCAAAATCCATTGTCATCATCATCTGTAACCCAAACGATAGAGAGAGAAAGAGAAATGTGCCATTGTTGGATCTGCAAACCTTAACAACTTGTTCAGATCTAAAACCTCCATGGGAGGAGGTAGATCCGACTCTAGCATCTTCAAATCGAAGGGAAAACAGATCCGAAGAGAAGAGGATGAATCTTCATGTCGACTTTCAGATCTGGAAGCCGTTGTCGGTAATGTTTCAATATCTGTGGAGTGTTTCCGGCCGAGGATCGGCGACGGTACACTGATGGCCTCCTGGATGGTCAATTTTCCGGTAGACATGGAGAGAGAGAGAGAGATATATATAGAGAGATAGATAGAGAGAGAGAGAGTTTGTGGGGAAATAGTGTATGGTGTGTGTGTCTTTCTTCTGGTTTACAAGAGAGAGATGTATTTTATTTTTATTTATTGTAATAAAAAAAACTAGATTATGATCAACACGGGGAGCGTATAAAAAAACATAGAAGTGTAAACATATATGACATCATAGAAAGCATGACAATTAAAAGTACATTATCATAGCTATTTTAAATTCATTAACATACATTACAATAGCTATTTTAACCTCATAACAATTAAAAGAATAAATAAAAAAACTAATAAATCATAGAGTAATATAAAATATTAAAATAGTTCATTACAAAAAAAACAACTATGTTTGAATGCAAATTAAAAAATATATATAATCACTAATATCTACTTGGCATAGTCACTGTATCAAAATCAGAACGGATTGAAAAAACTTGTTGAGAAGGATGTGTCGGAACCACATACTCAATCGTATTTCCTTTAAAGAAATATAGGGTATTGTTTCTATAATCCTACCATTCATGTGCACCTTCATTGTAAGTAGTAACATCTACTTTAACCTACCGATTGTGAATGAAAACCCAAATAGCCCACAAACGATCTCCACTTACAGAGAAATATCCCAATTTTCTGTGAAACTTGATCAGTCTCGATGCAAACGGTTTGAAGTCATTAATAGCAGAAGGTGCAAATATGACTATATGTTCTTCTGAATAAATATCAAATCATAATATGGTATCATTAGATAATAAGAAGTATACGACACCGCCACATGTAACTGCTTCATCAAAAACAGGATAAACAGATGATGGTAACTGGACATTTTGAAACTCCCTCCATTGCCATGTAATAGATGAAAACAATTCTATGTTGTAGTAATCGTAGTCCACTTTTTCCTTTGGCATATCACTACAAATAAAATAACATATAAGTAAATAATAAAGTAAATTAATAACATAAAATGTACTACATATAAACTCTTACGATGGCTTTGTGTATAACAATCGAATGACCTTGAAATGTAACGGGTTCGAACTGATAACTACCAAAGCAAACTTTGTTGCAGTGTATTCAGAGGTCGGAAAATGTATCCATTTGGCATCTGTAGTCGTTGGTTTGATAACAAATAAAATCTTTGAAATGTATTCATCTGGATCATAGGATTCAGCAAGAAGGAGTCCACACAATGATGATGCTAAAATAGTACAAGTATGTGGTAGCCAATCAATGTCTAGATTGTTGCTACCAGAAGACGGAACAAACTGACGCTCTATATTTCTCCATGGTTTTTTTTGTTGAACGATAATTCCACAAACCACATTATTTCTACGGTTGTAGTTATGAAGAACATAGTTGTTGTATGTTAGATTTCCATAATATTTATTTGTACAACGTACAGTAGCAAATGTTTGTAATGATGTTCGTGAAAGAATTTCAATAATTAGTTCAGAAGTCAATAACGATAACTGCAAAAGAAAGAAATAATAAGATAATAATATTAGAAAAACTTAAAATTTAATCTTTCATGACATACGAATTTAATTGATAATAAGTATACTCTTTGTAGTATTGAGGGTAAAGAATTTTACCCTATCCATATTCAATATTTTTTCCAATTCATCAATGATTGTATTGTTAGACGCGATCCTTGAGATAGCATAACCTTCTGTTTTGTTCTTCAAATTGTCATGTGTAATCTGAATTTTGAACGCCATCTTTTTTGCAATAGTATATTCGGTGTTGTTTTAATACAAGTTTTTTACTCTTTCATTTGTTTAACCCCCCATCCATCTATCGAACCTCCTTTGCATCCTCACTCAAGATGCAAAAGCACTAAATATTAATGTTGATTTGCGACACCAGAAAAATAACATAAACAGTTAAGAAGGTATACAATTGACAAAGTAAAATAACCTAAACAATTAAGAATGTACATCAATAATTTTGAAAATGGAAAAAATGAAGTTAGTGTCCATCTCAAAAATCACTACACGAATGGTCAAGTTACTAATTATAACCTTCCTAAATTCAAAAAGAAAGAAATTAAGTTGCCATTAACATGCATATTAATTCAAAAGTAGCAATAAGATCACCCCACCCCCCACAATTAAAAAAAAAAAACCTCAACCACAGTAACATACACATTAAAACATTAACATAAGCACACCATGTTTAATAAAAGGGATAAAAATGACATTATTTAAATGAAAAAATAGATATCGACAATCATGTTTTAACTTTTTATCATATTTGGAATACGGTTAAAATAATCATTTTCAACATTTTCAACAACTTAGAATTAAATTGCTAAACAAATTCCATTTTCCTTCTAATAGCATCATACTTTTAAAGTACAATGTTAGAATTGGGTAAAACAATGTAATTTATTCAAAGTACAATTGTTATTTTAAGATTATCTTACAAAATTAAAAAATAAATAAATAAATAAAAATAACTTAATTTTGTTTTATAGCAAAACACAGTAAAAGTCGATGTATTTTTTTTCAAAACAATAGCAACATGAACCATTCACATCAATTATAAGTTTATAACAATGAATTTTCAAAGTATTCCGGGTCATGCTAAGTGGGATTCATCACAGAGATATAACTAAAGAAGAAAGTGGTATAATAACATATGATGCCATAATAAGGAAAAAATGAAAGTACAATTAGTATAAAAGAAAATGGTAAAACTGTCATTAACCATAATTAAGACTATTCAAGGAAAGAACATTTGTTCATTTGATACAATATATCATCGGATGACTGTGTCATGAAATCTAGTACCTCATGATTCCTAAAAGTAAAAAAAGAAAGAAGCAAATCTCACGGCCACAAACTCTACAAATATATCAACACCATCTTTAATAGTCATCACTTTCTTCCCTTTGCGATCTTTTACATCCTCTACACAACACAAGAAAATACACATTCACCATCTTTAATCATTACATTTGACTTACTACTCTTGAAATGTAAAACATTTTTATATTGAAATATATGTATAATGAGGGTATTTTAGTCGACATGAAATTAAATGAAATTGAATTGAAATGCAGGCTTAAATTGAATTACATCCATTTGGCAACCAAAAACGCCTGAAATTCCACCTACCCTTAGAAATGTTGAAATCCATCCTGTATGAAAATCGTAGTGGTGACAGAACTGAATTCCATCGATTTGGCAACCAAAACCAACCATGGAATGGAATCCATCATTCCAATTCCATTGGATTCTGTCGGAAATCAACGAACCAAACATGTGCATACCTGATCCAAGACAAAAAGTAACATCTTAAAACAAATTATAGCATCTCTTCAAATACCACAGAACAATTAGTAATATCGACCCATATACCTAATATCTACAACAATTTAGTCATAGTAGAACGGTGTAAATGTGTAATCCTTAAATAATCATATTGCTTGCACATCTGGTAAAAAGAGTGGAAATGAAAGCATATTGCTTAAGTAATTACATGCAAAGTCACCAAGTATAACATGAGTTCATACATATTTGTATTACCATTTGAATCCCTATTGAGAACTATAAAGAAGATTTCATCTCAAAGTTGGAACCACCAACTATAAGGCTCATTTCCTCTTATATTTGTATGAATTTTGACCCATTTGCAAGTGTTCCCTAGTGTGATTAAAAAAACAGAGTAATATATCACTCAACTTTAAGTTAATTTACATGTCAAAGTGAGACAATAGTAATATAGCAAATATAAAAGAAACATATATCACTCCAATTTAAGTTAATTAACCTATATATCACGTATAATTAAGGTATGGAAATCAATAATTCTATCATGGAATACAAACGTTCTTACATGCAGGTTTTCCGATTTTCCTTGGAATCAAATCGAAAACCGAAGGACCGAAATTCATTATATTGAAGAACCATCATCGGACCTACTAACGGTATGCGGTTCGGTTCGTCCCCGGTCCAGGATCGATTCTGAGTGCTTAATGCTTCATATTGTAAACATTTTTATTACCTTCTTGCTTTTCCATCACCAACCCAACAATAGACCACATGTTGGCCAATATAAACCCACAGAATATGATTGAACCTAAAATCATCCGACCAAAAAGAACATTAAATTATTGTCATTTAATATAAAAATATGATACTACATGGAATTAATATCATTTACCCAACATACTTTGATTAAAAAATGACCATTTTGCCCCTTGGTCATACAGAAATAGCCACAGACACACACACACACACATACAGAGATGGTGTCAATGATGTAAGAACATAGGAAAACTCTACTGAAAATTGAAGGAATGGTTCCAATTTACATTAGGTATGAATATTAAGTGCAATTTTTTTCACATGGAAATCCAAATATGAATACCACAAGGATTTAATTGCATTATAATTGGTATAAATACATATTGTAATTAATCAACTGTCAGTCAATTGAAAAAAAATTATAAAGAAAGAACAACGGATTGACTTTTAGAAAGAAATGAATTCTTTTGACCAACAATGGAGAAATAATAATAATGTTGAAAATGTGAAATGTTAAAATGTATGAAATGAAATCAATACATGGAGAATTTGGCTTTGGTGTTTTCAAATACTTGTTCAGCAATAACTGCTCCATTTCCATCTGCCTTTTTAATCTCCATATGAGCCTTTTGATAAAATCCAGTGCCTCTTAATGCATCTGCAATGAAATCATAAAACCCAATTGCAATTGTTGCTTATGCTTTTGCCCCATAAACCAACCTCTGCATTCACATAAATAAACTAAATAATGGATCTTTTTTTGGATTTTAGGGGTAAAATGGTCATTTACACTCTTTGTTAAAGCAGAACATAAAAGGTTGTAGTGTTGTAACTTTCCTCTCATTTTTAGACAAAAGGGTAAAGATGTCATTTGGATTAGAGAGGAAAATGCACATTGATTCTTGAAAGATGAATGTCACCAAAGCACATAGGACAGGGCTCACAAGAGGGCATAAATCTCACAATAAGAGAGCTCAATTTGGTTGAGTTTTTTACATGCCTGGAATACATGGTGTAAAAATAATAATTAGTAAAAAAACTATCTAGCAATAATAAAAAAAAATACTAAATTCACACACTGTGAAAGTTTGACATTTGAAAGTAATATTTATCAATCACACATTAATAAAAGAGGGTTATTCAAGAAATGACTTAAAGGGTATATTCGTTATTTTGTAAAAATTGAAATTTCAGCGGAATAACCAGAAGACACCAGACTAATCACAAGTATTTTGATATGAGTGATATTGATTTAAAGAAGATAAGGAATGCTGGAGCCTGTCATTTTAATTATGCGTATTTGTCCAAGGGGTATTTTGGTCACATTGTGGATGGTATTCTTTTCATTGAGCTTATCCGCTTCATGTCGCTGTTCCGGACGCTCATACAGGGGCATTTTCATCAGAATTTTAATAGAATTCTTTTATATTCTATTGCATTTTCTGGTTATATTCCTGGTTTTTGGAAATTAAAGATCACTGCTTATTCCCTTTGGTTTGCTTCTCTACTAATTTCGGAATCAAGCTTCTAGTCCAAAGCATGAAACCCATGACAATAAGCCAGAGACCTTGGAAGAGTACGCTAATGGACCTTATAAAGCTAACTATGAAGCTTTTCTGGTAGCCAATGCCCATAAGGGTAGTGATAAAAGATATAAGAATTACTATTTCTTCTTTGGAAATCTACCATATTTCCATGTGCAGCTACAATTGCAGCTTCTTGGGCCTGCATCCAAATTTAACGATCAAAAAAGCAATAATGGAATAAAAAGGGTACCCAAATAATCCTTCTTGAACTGAAAGTGAAACACATTAAGATTACAACATGATGTCTGTCGCTTTGCAAGTGACGACGTCGTTCCAGAAGCTTTCTGATTGTGTGTTGCCATCGACATCACTCACTACATCAAGAAACCCAGAAAAGAAAAGAAAGAGAAAGGAACCCTAGAAACAAAACCCTAAAATTCAACGGCGCTTTGTGAATGCCCCGAGCTTCATCATCAACAGGAGGATCATGACTGGAGAAATCAATCCAGTGAGGAGCGTTAATGTCTTCATAAAGTATGTCCTTTTCGAACTTCGAATCCTTCCAATCAATCACAGCTACATCCATAAGAAGAAGAAAATGACTTCATGTCGATATATGCTCTTGATTAGAATGAAATTAGGATTCGGAATGAAAAGTAAGGAGGAAGTTACCGTGCGTATTTTGGTCTATATGTCAGCAAAACGTATTTTGGTGTAGGATGACGTCATCAAAATAATCGAAAGGTGGAGATCTAAAGAGTGAAATATAATCAAGGGTCCTTGTTTCTTCATTTTAGAATTTAAAGTTCTCTTTTAATAATATTTAGAGATAATAAAGGGCAAATTCATCATTATTAAAAAGTTTTAAAAATTTTGGACAAAACTCACAACAAAATCCAAGTATTAGTATTAGAACACAAATAGGAGTATAAACTTTTTTTTTTCCAAACATATATGATTTGACATTCCAAAGGCACCATTAGTTGGTTTTTATATATACTTGATTTGATGGGTCCAAACGAATTACTCTTCCTACACTTTTTATTTTCAGCATCACATTAACACATGAACATGAAAGCTTTAGTAATCGTGGCTTCCATGAACTTTTCTCAATCTCCTTATTCAATTCTCCTTTTCCACTGAATTCTAACAAAACAAATCCAAATATTCCTCTCCAGTATCACAATCTCCCATTTGCTTTATCAGATTCTCTGCATTGTGTCAAGGTAGAGATGACGATTCTTTACACGCTGGTGGCCAGAGGATCTGTTCTGTTGGCGGAATTCAGTGGTACGTCGACCAACGGGAGCACCATCGCCAGACAAATTCTCGAGAAAATCCCCGGAAACAATGATATGAATGTTTCGTATTCGCAAGATCGGTATATTTTTCACGTTAAACGGACTGATGGCCTCACTATTCTCTGTATGGCCGATGATGATGCCGGAAGTAAGCTAATAATAACAGCTCTGTTCTTATTGTTTGCTTAAAATTCGTTCTATTATGATAAGATCGATTCATTTCCATTAGATGAGTTTGTGATCATATTGTATGATTTGAGCCGAAGATCAGGTCTCGCTATTCTGTCGACAGTAATTCAATTTGAAACTTGCATATCTGATTTGATTTTGATAATCTAGGGTTCTTCGAGCAGCATTGCTGCCTTATGAAGGTCGTTTATGTTTATAATTTGAAATTTGAAATCCAATTCCTTCCATACAGGGATTCTTAGATCCATAAAATCCAATACTTGATACTGACATATAATATCAGTGATCAAATAAACACATTCAATCATTTCACTTCTACTCTTTTTCAATTACAACACATTCAATCATTTCACTTCTACTCTTTTTCAATTACAAGTTCATTAAAACAATTGATGGTTGGCAGAATATGATCAGTAGTGGCAATATCTATATTTTACAGGACGAATTCCATTTACATTTCTTGAAGAGATTCATCAGAGATTCGTTAGAACATACGGTCGAGCAGTTCTAACAGCCCAAGCTTATGAAATGAATGATGAGTTTTCTAGGGTTTTGAGCCAACAAATGGAGTATTACTCCAGTGATCCCAATGCAGACAGGATAAACCGTTTAAAAGGTGAAATGAGTCAGGTGAGTTTCCTTAACTTAACATTCCAATACTTTTGTTAAATCAATTTTTGTAAACTAAATAGTAATACCTCTTTGATCTTGAACAAGAAAGATGAAATTGCATGCTTTATAAACAGGTAAGAAGTGTGATGATTCAAAATATTGACAAAGTTCTTGAGAGGGGTGATCGTTTGGAAACACTTGTTGATAAAACTGCAAATATGCAAACGAATACTTTTCGATTCAGAAAGCAGTCTAGAAGATTCAGGAATACAATGTGGTGGAAAAATGTCAAACTTATGTATATCCTCTAACCTATATACATTATCTTTATAGATTACTGAGCTAATATAATTAATGGACTTAATTTAAATGTAGGGTTGCTATGGTAATTCTTCTCCTGGTGATAGTGTACATTGTTCTGGCATTTGTTTGCAAGGGGTTTGCACTTCCAGCTTGTCTATGATGAAAACGGGAAACAAATGGGAAATTTGATTTATTAGGGTTTTTGAATTCAAAGCCTTCGAAAAAAATTCTTGCATTTTTTTGACATTCTTTTATAGTAATTTGATAAGTTATTTGTATCGAGTTGTTTTGTTATACGAGGAATAATAAGTTTATCAATGATCAAGAGTATATTTAGAAATTTTTGGTAAGAATCACTCCAATTGGTAAATATTTAGAATTCCACATAGATAAGTTTTCTTGAAATGTTGTAAAAATGGAGCCCAATGATTAACGAGTGTCATCTTTGTTAATATATAAAACGAGGGGATGATGCTATGTATTTTATCAAACTCACTATGTTGACTAAATAAGATTTCTGGATTCCAACACTGCATACTTTATTTTTGTAAATGTTTGTCTCAATACCAAATGTCATTTGAAAACATGTCACGATGCTAAAGATGTTCAAAAATTACTAAAACACCACCTACTTAAGAAAATTGGTAACCAATAAGGCTAATGGGCATATAGTCCGGCAACAATAGAGGATCCTTGATTTTAGGTATTAAGAAAATACATGAGAGTTTTAACCAAGTCGAGTCTTCGAAGTGATTAACAATGTTTATGCAGTCTTCCTTGATCACGTGCCAACATTTCTTAGTAAAATCAGACGTAAAACCATCAGGGTCAAGAGCTTTCTCTCCACCACAACACCAACTACCTTCTTTGATCTATTGTAAGGAGAATGGGACAATATGAGTTCTAATGATTCTTTAGAACAATGGGAAAGTTTCTTAAATAGGGGACATAACGAGATTTTTGGTCATCAACAAATTTGGAAGAAAATAATCTCAATACTTCATCCGTGATCATGAAAATAACAAATTTACCTATGAAAATCCCTTTTTCACAGGTGGTTTGGCTTATGTGAATTCATAATATACCGAAAAGGAGTTTGGCCACAAATATAAATGTATACATGTGACATCCCCATTTTCACGGCCAGAAAAGACCGATTTTGTTTAGGCTTTATAAAAATCAGAGTACTTCTTTTAATAAAAATGTTGTGGAATTTGTTCCCAGAAAAACATGATAAATATATTATCAAAGCATTTCCGAAGAAATGTATTTTTATTCATTTTAAAACATTTGGGATGTCATCGTCAATACAGAAACATAAGCATAAACAGAACTTACATTCATTTACACTAGTGATCTACATCTCTTTTAAATTTCTCAGTGTAAAATAGCTTTATATCGACACCTGTGATACAAATAAGCTTGAGTGGGTCAGGTTGGGAAACCTGGTGAGTACATAGGGTTTTCAACCCACAATAATATAATTATTATGTTTAAACATCAAACAATCAACTCAATTACCCATCCCCATTATCTTCTTTACTCTTAAGGATCTACCCTAAGAATTAGTTATTCCTCGTTCATTCATTCCTAAGGATCATCCTAAGGAACCGACACAAAATCCATCGTTGCCAGGGTTTACTCGACAGGCACTAAGTCGCATAGTTGCCAGGGTTTAGGCACTAAGTCTCATAGTCGTCAGGGTTTATACAACAGACACCAAGTCGCATAGTCGCCAGGGTTTAGGCACTAAGTCTCATAGTCGCCAGGGTTTATACAACAGACACTAAGTCGCATAGCCGCCAGGGTTTAGGCACTAAGTCTCATAGTCGCCAGGGTTTATACAACAGGCAATAAGTCGCATAGTCGCCAGGGTTTATACAGCGGGCACTAAGTCTCATAGTCGCCAATGTTCACTCATATCATCTTTCATCTCTCATCATTCATCTACCCATGTTTTACCCAACATATTCGTAGATATAAAATACATATACAGTTTAAATTATTTAAAAAATGTATAAAATCGTTCATCCAGCATAGATAGCAAGTATACAGGTTATATGCACACATAACACATAATTTATATAAAATACTTCATATCTATGTGTAAGATGAAAATAACTATGCACTCACCTGATAAGGTGATGACTCGGTACTCGGAAATTGCTTCGTTTACTTAAAACAACTTCTTTCGACAAAACCTGGTATCATTACCACTAGAGTTTAGTCTAAGGTTCGACGAGACTACTTAATAGTCTAGCTATTATTACTATTATATAAGCGTTAAACAATACTCTTCACCTACTATGTACAGACAGCGGCCAGACATAAAACACCGGAGGGCAGGACCATTTTGGCATATAGCACTTCTGAAATCCAACTACCCTATGCAGCCCTTTAAACCAGATTCCCCGTACCGCGAGTAGTTAAAAAGATATTATAACGACACTTATATAACCCATAATAATAGCTCAAATAATTATTATAAGGTCCTAATAACATTACTATATTGAAACATAAGTTATACAAGAGATAGGGTAGACGTAGCTCACCTACAACATGTTTTTCTCAAAATCGGGCTCCGCCGAAGTAGATTTTCTGAGCCGAAGGCTCTTCTTTTCAGAGCCGTCGGGCGCTCCGGGGCTTCCGCCTCGTGCTAGGGGGTTCCTGGGCTTTTTGGGGGGTTTTAGGGCTTAGAAAGATGTTCTAGAGAGAGAGAGGAAGAAGTTGGAATGTGTGAGGAATGGAGGGAACCCTGCACCTCTATTTATAGGCTTCCTGGAGCGTCACCACGTCGTGGTGCCTCTCACCACGTCGTGGTGTTGCGTAGGCTCCAAGGTTTCGCCTGGTGCTGACACGTGGCATCGCACACAGGGTGGAAATCAGCTGATTTTCAAAAATTCATACTTTCGCATACGAGCTCCGTTTTCGACGTTTTTTATATCCACGCATAGGTAAAAATAAGATCTACAACTTTCATTTTGACTCCGTCGGCTAATTCTCGACCGATCTTAAATTTAGCAGTAGGACGAGATTATACTGTTAAATGTCCGCGTAAAATTCATAACTTCTACATACGGACTCCGTTTTCGTCCTTTCGTTTTACCGTTGAGTTCCTATTAATGAGATCTTCAACTCTCATTTAGGTCGCGTAGGCCAAAAACCGCTCGATCTAAAATTC